GGGCCTTAGCCAATTTATGTTTCCTAAAAAGCTCTGAAGGTAATTAAGGGTAAGGGGATGGGGGTATCCAAGATAGGTTTAAGGGGCCTAACAGTAGTAGGCATTATTTCAGTCCCCAGGAAGGTAATGGGGGGAACTGATTGTATCTTATTTGTGGCTATCATAAAACCTCTTGTCTCTAGGGTGTTTATCATAGCATCTCTCAGGTCCTCTAGAGAGGAATCCTCATCTTGCCAGAACAAGAGGTCATCCATGTAATGATAAACGTGTAGGCCTCTTTTTAGTCAGGGTGCCAGTGCATTTACAATGGCCTCCTGGCAGATTGTAGGGCTATTTGCCATACCCTGCAGCAGAACTCACCATTCATATCAATCAGCTGGCCCAGAATTGTTAATTTTTGGAACTGAGAAGGCAAAACGTTAGCAATCATTATTGTGTAAATGGATGGAGAAGAAGTCTTTTATATCTAGGACTAACAGGGGAGTATTAAGGGGGATGGCAGAGATCATGGGCAGGCCTCTTTGGGGTGATCCCCATATTTTCATGGTTTTGTTTATGGCTCTGAGGTCTTGTAGCAGTCGCCATGACCCTGTCTTTTTCTTTATTACAAAAATTGAGGTGTTCCGTGGGCTCCTAGAGGGCCTAATGTGACCCAGCTATAACTGTTCTTCTACAAGTTGTTGTAAAATGAATAATTTCTCCCTGGGTAATGGCCACTGTTCCACCCAGACTGTTTCTTTGGTGATCCAGTTGAGGCAGGGAGTCTGGTAATCAACAGTGGCCATTAGGATTGGGTTTTTTTGTTTTAGGAACCTCATATGATCATCTATTTGAAGGCATTCTCCTTCAGACCCACTGACAAGAGCTACATTAAGGTCTTCCAGGATATCTCATCCTATGAGATTTGTGGCTATATCTGCAATCAGGGGTCTTATCATGCTGACCTCTCCATCAGGATCCTCCCATTTATAGAAGTTTTTAGTGATGAATGCTCAGGAGGGGCCTCCTACTCCCTTCAGTTGAGGTCCTGGTATTAACTCCCAGTGTGGGGGAACCTCAGAGCACCTTAAGATGGTTTTATCAGCCCCGTTGTCAAGGAGGCATTTACTGTCTATTTTTATGGTTAATTTTGGATGGGTATTTTCTGTAATACTGGTTATCCATAATGTTTGTGGCTTCCCTCTTGTTAGCAGGGCTGAGGGTTCCCCCAGAAGGAGTTTAAAGGTGGCAAAAGTTTGCCATCTCTATCATATTTAGATTTACAATCTCTTTTCCAGTGAAAGCCCCTTTTACAGTGAGGACAGAGGGTTTTAGGGGGTCAAATGGCAGCTGAACTTTTTTTTGTCAATTTTCTTTCCAGTGTCTGGTTTCTCCCTATTTAAAACCTTTTGAGTTAGGTCGGGTTGCAGCTACAAAGGCCTGGGCAAGGGAGGAGGCCTGGTATGTGGCAGTCCCAATGTCATGGGTGGCCACAATCCATTTGTTGTAATGTTTATTTTTTAGTCCCTGGCATGCTTGTCTGTGCTTAGGGGTCATCCCTTCCCAGACAAGGTTGTTTAAAAGCATTGATTTGGCTGTAGGGTCTGTTATTTGTCTATCTAAACTGGCCTGTACTCTTAGTATAAAGC